CCGGACAAACTTTTTTTTTTTTTTTTTTTTTTCTGTCTTTTGTGTTTTTGTTGAAATTTGTTCTCAATTCACTGACGATTGATTTTCCATTTCGTTCTTCTCCTTTTGATTCTTCCTTTTGGATTTCTTAATCTTCGTTCTCTTTAACGAAATTTCTTCGGACTGAATCTTATGTGTTATGTGATTTCGATTTCAGAGAAGAAGAAGGGGTGGATTTGAGGAAAATGTTCTGCAGAATTACTTTGATGTCGAAGAAGAAGAAGAGCGGAACCGTGCCGGTTTATTTGAATGTGTATGATTTAACGCCGATCAATGGCTATGCGTATTGGCTCGGTCTTGGGGTTTACCATTCCGGCGTGCAAGGTTAGACAATTTGTGGCGTTTTTCTGTGTTTCTTCTTCTTCTTCTTCCATTTTTAGTATGTTGTTAGCAGAGGCGACGAGGATTTAGGTATTTTTGTAAATGATTGTCACATAAACCAAAGGGTTTTCAAATCGTTGTTTCCTTTTTTTCTTGATTCTTCATTGCGTTTTTTCCCCTTCAGATCTGAGGTTGAATTCGTTCTGTTTTTTGGCTGAAATTTGTGCTACTTGAGAAACTGGAGGAACATGAGGATTGTATTATGGCTGTGCTGTGAAATTTTCTGTTTCTGGTTGTGTATTTATCTCTATGAGCTAATTGTTCAGTTTATGGAAAGATGATTCTGTAATGGCTAGCTTGATTTGGCTGAGAAATTGATGAATTCCTGCATATTTCTTTGTTTCTGATTGCTTATATGATTTTCTACTGATATCTATGTCGTTTGTGTTTGGCCGTCTCTGAGTTTTTTTTTTTTTTTATGACTTAAGCAGCCAATGTTAGTGAATCCAGCTTGTTTAATTTATTTTATCAAAACAGGCTGTTCCAAGCTCAAATATCTCATTGGGGTGAACCTTTTTTTGCAGTTCATGGAGTTGAATATGCATTTGGAGCACATGAACGTGCAACTTCAGGGATATTTGAGGTAGAACCAAGACAATGTCCTGGTTTTACGTTTAGGAAATCAATTTGTATCGGAAGAACAAATCTAGATCAGAAAGATGTTCGCTCGTTTATGGAGAAAGTAGCCGAAGAGTACTCCGGGAACACTTATCATCTCATAACGAAAAATTGCAACCATTTTTGCAATGATGTATGCTTAAGGTTGGTAGGGAAACCAATCCCTAGCTGGGTTAACCGTCTTGCTCGACTTGGTAAGATCGTCGATTATACTCCAAGCTGACTGTTTTCTTTTCCATAATCCTGCTTGTTCTTGCTGTGACATAAAATCCTTGTTTACAAACAAACTGCCCATTATAACATAGCCACTGTGTTTCTATGCCTGATCTTATGTAACTTTTGTCTTCCCCTGCATAATTAGGAGCACAACATGACTCGTGAGACGTTAATTATCTAAGTGATAATTTAATACGAGCGCTTCATTTATTCCCTCTGAGATTGGAACTTGCAACAATTTGTGATGTTATTTCGATACGTTTTTCAGGTCTTTTCTGCAACTGCGTTCTTCCAGCGAGTTTGCACGAAGCGAAGGTTCGGCAAGTACGCCCAGGAGATAAGCTCAACAACGATGGTGCAAAGAAGAAATTGAAAAGCCAACCAAGTAGGTATAATGATAAACCTTCTTCTGTTTCCAATCCTCCAACTTCAACCGTCAAAGTAAGTAGACAAAAACGATGTATCCCGCCATCATCAACGGTGATTCATTCTTCACAGTCCACATCCCAAGCTCTAAAGCTGTAATAGTGACTGTTTTATAGGCTATTTAAGAGCTTAATTAACAGAAGACAGGCAAAATAACATGATTTTTTTGCCTTTCCACTGGTCTTCTGCTTCTACAAATCCCATAGAAAGAAAGAAAAGTTGTGGTGGAGCAGTTTTGTGTTGAAATGCCGTGTATGTTTGTGCAGTTTGATTGAGATTTTATCATTGAAATGGTTTATAGATTGAAAAAAAATGGTGTTCTTGGGAAGTTGGAGAAGGATGTAAAGAAGAAGGCTTGTATGGAAAGATGTCAACTCAAGTGGAGATGGCATTAATGGAAGTGGGTATGGTGGGGGATTGGGTGGTGGAAGCTCCCTCCTCCTCCATTCACTTCCTATGGACCCAGAGTCTTCTCTCAAATATGTATATATCTTTCAATGTCGGTGGTAAAAACCAAGCTGAAATGACACCCTTCCTCTTTTCCACCTCTCGTCCTATTCGGTTTGGCTCGAGATTTACGAAGCTTATGGGTTTGAAAGGTCAGAGGTGCCTTATCGATATTTTAATTGTTCATAAGTATTGTGACAGTTCAAGCCTACTTCTAGCAGATATTGTCCGTTTTCACTCGTTACGTATTGCTATCAGACTCATGGTTTTAAAATATGTCTGTTAGGAAAAAGTTTCCACACCTTTATAATGAATGTTTCGTTCTCTTCTTCAACCAATGTATGATCTCACATATTGATTATAGAGATTGGAGTTTGTGTCGTTTGCATAAAGTGTACTAGTTCTTAATTTGTGTTAATCCATCGTTAGGATATGTGATATTTATATTATAACCTAACTCGGACTTGCAATTGTGAAGACTAGAAGTAGAAGAATAAAGTTGTCTTTGTAGTTGAACTTCTAAACTTTCGATTATTCAAATCAAACCTAACTAAGAGACACAATCGTGGCCATCAAGGTATTAAGTAAGTGATGTTAGGTAAATGTAGAAGTAGAAGAAAAATACTTTTGTTTAGGGGTCAACTTTTCCAAATGTGAGAACTTACATTAGAGTCAAATATTGGTAGGAATTTAATATATATATACACACACACGACAGAATCGAGAATCTTATTTATATGATTAAGAACGTTTGAATATGAACAGAATTTTCTAGGGTTTTAAATCGGTTGGTTTTCGGTCCATTTTGGTTGTCTCGTTTTTCAACTATTATATTGATTTATTTAAATTCGAACTTTCATATTGAACCGATTACAATATAATTCGACTAGTTTCATATTCGATATTTCAAATTGTGTGTGTACATATATATATATATATATTTATTTATTTATTTATTTATTTATTTATTTGATAAGAAGATGAATTAAAAAATTTAGAAAGGAAGATAATGATAAAAATAATAATAATAACAAAATTTTATATTTTAATAATTACAGAAATTAGAAATGAAATTACAAATCTTTTAATTTCCCAAAAGAATTCTCCACAACCTCATCATCTTCTACACTGTTCCGAACGGGCGGAGCTTTAATGGCGTCCATCCTTTTTCAGCTTCAGTTTCATTACCCATTTTACCCCTGTCCCCCTTTCAACGGGAAGACGACAGAGACCCATCGCCCACTTTCTCCTCTGCTCTCAAAACTTGCATTTCACTTAACAGAATCCAAACCAGATAATCGATAATGGATGATTGTGACGTTTTATCTAACAGATTAGAAATTGGGTTCTCAATTTCATCTTCTCCAAGCGTAAATCAGTAGACAAAATCCCGGCGGAGCTCCGATTACATCGCTATCCTCTCCGTTAGCCCATTCCATCACCGATGAACTAGCTCCGACGGATGATCCGACCGACGACGTCGACGCCGATACCGACACCGATGACGACGACAAGCTACTTCTCATCCTCCGCCACTCCAATTCGTTCAATCCCAGGTTTAGATTCTGCTGTCGCGCCGCCGGATTGCTCTGTTCTTCCGCTTCGAATCGGAACATAAACACCGCATTTCCTCTGTTTTCTTTCTCCGATTCGAAAACCCAGCTGTAAACATCCCAATACACATCCACCGGAATCCCTTCCACTTCGATTCTTTCGTTTCCCCTAAATTTCCATTTCAGCCGTTTGATTTCCAAAACCATTTTCCGGTCAACACTGAACGACAGCCCTAATTCGTCGTCGTTTCCTTCGAATAAGCCGCAGTCTATTTCGATTTCTCGGATTTGACCGCCGAATTTCGCCTTCGTGGTGTAGATTTTGTGCGCAATCACGTGTTCCCTTTTGAGAATTAGGGTTTGGGGAATTTGGGATTTCGCCGCTCTGGTTTTCGCAGAGGCTTCTTTGATCATATCGCCGACGAGAAGTATCATTTCTCCTTCCACAACCACCGCGATGAAGAATCCGGAATAGGGTTCCGGCGACGACGAGAAACGGGCTCGCCGGAGATCCCAAAAGACATGGATACTATCTGAAAGCTTCTCACAGCCGTGTTTCTTCCATGGATTTAAAGCTCTGATAAGTAGACGAAAAGAGATTGAAGAAGAAGAAGAAGGATTTGGAGGTGAATCAAAGGAATTGGGGTTTCGGTGAAAGTTAAGGAGAAGGGAGTGAGAGAAGAGGGATTGAGACCATGAGAGGGTAAAGAGAGCGAAATTAGTGTGGTAAATGCAGGTGGTGAGATTGGGGAAGCCGGAATCTGGCGGCGGAGGGTGGCGACGATTGGCGGAGGATGAACGGAAGCAGGCGGAGAAGGCGGCGGACATTGGAGGGGGAAATTGAGTAGTGAAATTTGCAGAGATTTGGAAACGAAATCCCCTGCCAATATGACTCGCCTTATTAGACCATGGCCTCCGATGGACATTTTAAACTCTGTTATTTTATTATTATTATTATTATATCTAAAATTATAAAGTTGATCATTTATAAATTTAAAATTAAAATGATATAATAACATATATTACATTTTTTTTTTATTTCATTAGTGTTTTGAAAAGGGAAATTAATAAAATTTTATAGGTATAAAACTAAGGAAGTCAATGAAGGGAAAAAGCATAGAATAATAGAAATTGGATTCCTTTTGGAAAGGCCTTAAACAATCCTATAATATATATATATAATGCTCGTTTCCAAGAAAATCATGATCCCGATCTCGATCAGTTTTGCAATCCACGCCACGATGTCGGTATATTCTCCAGCAATTGTGTAAGATCTCATATATGTTGGAGGGGAAACGAAACTTTCCTTATAAGATTGTGGAAAACTCTCTCTAGTAGGGGTTTTAAAATCGTGAGGCCGACAATGATACGTAACATCTATTAACAGTGGACTTTGAGTTGTTAAAAATTGTACTAGAGCTCGAGACGGGGTGGTGTTCCAACGAGGACGCTGACGTCTAAGGTGGAAGAAGGAACCAAACATTCTTATTAGTGTGGAAAAACCTTTCTCTAAAAAATGTAAATTTAAAATGAAATCAGCTACTAAGTTCGTATTTATTAAATTATAAATTTAGTTTATATTTTTAGAAACTATTTGCGACCAAATATATTAATTTTTGAAATAGTTTTGATTTTGTCGAAATTGACGACATTTAAACCTTGATTTTATTTGGTTACCCACATGCTTTAGTTTAATCTAGTATCTGTCATAATCCACCAACTTAGTCAAAAATTATACAATATGATATACATTTCACATGTCATGTTAAAACATTATAGTAATATTATTAATTAAAATAATAGACTAAAAATATAGTTTAATGTTGAATGATGCAATACGTACGAAGTTTAGGGACTATACCTTATATTCCTAATTAATTAACTATATAATATAACACGAAAATTCATATCAAAGTTTCAAAAAGCAATTAAGACATATAATTGCACCATTTTCCGTGACATCAAATTATATTATTAACTCATGATTGTAGCTGTAACAGCTCAAGCATACCACTAGTAGATATTGTTTATTTGACGCGTTATGTACACGATTTTAAAACACGTATTATAACGAGAGGTTTCCACACCCATATAATGAATGCTCGTTCCCATTTCTAACCAATGTGGAATCTCAAAGTTCACCCTTTTTTGGGGGCTAACGTCCTTGTTGGCACACCGCTCGATGTCAGGTTTTGATACCATTTATAACAGCCCAAGCTTAGTTAGTAGATATTGTCCGCTTTGACCTATTACTTCTCCGCTCTAAATTCACTGTTTCTTTCAACACTTATGTCATGTCAACACGGAAATTTAATGTTTTGCATTCAGTCAATCACATTACGTCATGTCACATAAAATTCATTAAATGATTTTTACTATTCAAAGTTTTTTTTTTAATATAATAAAACAGAATATTATTGTATTAATTAAAACTTTAAATTAATTATCATATGCATAAGAAATAGATGTATGAATAAAAATTTAAGACATAAATTAGAAGTTCATAATAATATTATTTTCTTTTGTTGTATTTCAAAAATTATAATTATAATGAAAAGAATTTTGTAAAAGAAAATAAAAAGGAAAAAATAAAATAAAATAATTAGTGGGCTAGGCCCTAACTTTTGGGCCATGAGTTTCAAAGGTTTGGTCCAATTTCTTATTAACTTTGGAGGCCCATTTACTGAAAGTAAACATCTGGCTGGGCTGCCCGCGGGCAAGTCTCGATTACCCTTCTCAGTAGAGCGTATAAAGCTTCTTCGCTGCTAATAGGGTTTTTTATAATCCCGCCCATCTGCTTCCAGGCTCGCCGCCGATAGCCGGAACTCGAAAATGGTACGTATTGTTATTCGACTCTCTGAATGTCTTTCCGTTTAACTTGGTGATATTCATTGTTTTCTAATGGATGATTGAAATTGTGTGCATGTAATTCGATTTTATCTTCTCTTCCAATTCGCAGCCGTCTCACAAGACTTTCAGAATCAAGAAGAAGCTCGCGAAGAAGATGAGGCAGAACAGGCCAATCCCGCACTGGATCCGCCTGAGAACTGACAACACGATCAGGTATTAAACCTAATTTATTTGAATCTGCTTAATTTCATTCTAATCTCTCTCCATTTCTAATTTCGATCGGATTACAGATACAATGCGAAGCGCAGGCACTGGCGTCGCACCAAGCTAGGTTTCTGAGGTGCTTTCGATTTAATCTTCAATGTTCATTTACCTTGGACTTGTTAAGATTGAGAACTTGAATTTTCGTACAATTTTTGTAGTTGACCAACTGAAATCTAGTTCATCTGATATTTTTGTTTAATCATCACTACACTCAAGTTTGAAGTGCTTTCGAATGGAGTGAATTTACTGTCGATGGTTGTCTGTGGTATAAACCTTAATGGCATTTGCTTGCTCCTGTTCTCTAAGGATTTAAACGAGGTCGATAGGCATTCTTTGGGAAACTGATCGAAGTCTAGAGATTCTTGAAAACTATTTAAATCAACAAATAACCATTTTCCATTTCCTAGCAACGTATAATTATTTTAGGATTTAGCTTCGTACTCGTTTTATCGATAAATCTGAGTAGTATGGGTTGAGCCAATTCATATACTCAGAATTCATAACTGACCTTCGTTTACAGTGAAAGATAACATAGAAGATCCAACTAGCTTATCCGAGTTGAGACTCTGTCAATGGTTCCAAAGAGAATTCTTTGAGATTTTGTTCTGTAGTATACTTGTCAATATCATTTCGACCTTGAACAAGAACAGATCTATATTTTCTAAGGTTCTACATCTGTGTCATTGAATTCTGAAGCACTTACAACTTTAGTTAATCTGAACAGAATAGTCTTCGTCTAGAAAGTCGGTAGAGGTAGAGAACTTGGTCGATGGTTCCAAAGAGAACTTTAGTTGATCATTTCGACTCTGTCGATGGTTCCGAAGAGAAAATTCTTTGAGATTCCCTTCTGTTTGTTAATATCATTTCGACCTTGAACAAGAACTGATCTATATGCTCTAAGGTTCTGTAGCTGTGTCATTGAATTCATAGCATTTACAACTTTAGTTGATCTAAACAGACCAGTCTTCGTCTAGAAAGTCGGTAGAGGTAGTTTACTTGATGGTGGAAGACGCCAGGTGACATGGTCGAGTAGACTAATTGCCCATTTATCTTACTAATCACTGCATATCAACCAAACCTCTTCATTGTCTAGACTGCATTTGTTAGGAGGTCTGTTAGGTATGGCTATCTTCTTAGAACCATTTCGAGCTCGCAGATGAACCTTCTTTGAGGGAATTTCAATGGGGTGTAAAGCAAACAATGAAGGCTTCAATAGTATGGTAGAGAATAGTTTGGTTTGGTTGTCGAGAGGAGGGAGTGAGGTTTAAAGTACGGGAGATGATTTGGATTTGCAGTGTGGAAGGAAGGTCCTATTTCGGGCGCCAAATTAAAATTTAGAAGTAAAAAATAGAGTTTGAAATTATAAAGATAAAATTAGAATTTGGGTTTATTTATTTAGTCAGTTATTTTGAATAAATTTATACTTGGAAATTAATTTTATTTGCTAAATTGCAAATGCTCTTTTGGGCCTAGTGGTGCTTCGGTTTCATATTGTGACAATTTTACCATTCGCTTTCTGAGTTTAATTTTCATTTGGTGCTTATGCCCTTGATTTTTTTATTTATTTATTCACTAAATAGTCATTTTCTGTTCTTGATGATAATGCCTATTAAATAGTTAATGATGATCAAATTGGGTTTTACTCAGTTTTTCATCGCTATTAAAATTAATAAAAAAATGTTATGTTGTAATTATTTTAAATTAATTAATTGAAGATCAGAAGTGATCCTAAGTGAAATTCAGGGTAAAAATACTTGAACCAAGTGATAAAATTTGAAAATATCTCACATTTTCAGCTTGGGGAAGGGAAATTCAGTTTACAAATTTTAGATCATTAAAATTATAAAAAAAACAGATAGGAATAGTGGAGACTTCATAAAATACAATAATACATCATACCCTTTGTCAAATATGTCTACATCTATATATATATGTATATATTAAAATTCAAGACAAAAAGCAAAAAAAATCATAAATGCATCGTAATGGTTTTATGGAATTTTAATTGAGCAATAAAGTGAGTTGAATTAAGTACGACAATATTAGTTGCTGCCAATATTGATATCTCATAAATGTTGCGGTTCGATCCCCGTGACCAGCAAAATGAATATACTTAGATGACGGAATAATAATATAATATACTTTTATGTTTACATTTAATTTTTTTAGTTTAAAAAACTATATAATTTGGTTAAATTATTAAAATATAAAAATAAATTTACGATATATTATTATTATCAACTTCTTCCTTCAGAAAACCAAATAAAGTTTACTCTTTGTTGCGTGTAAGAAGGGAGATATTTATTGACCGTAAATTAGTTTGAATGAAATTTGGGGATGGTATTGAAATTACGAGGTATTTTAAGTGTTTATTTTTCCCCAATTGTTAGGCCGATCTTTAAATGGGAAATGGTCATTGGCTAATTAACTCTTCAATACGACAACCTGACTGACATGCGTTTCATCCTACTCAAAACGTTGCAGTCTCTACTAAAAAATGGAAGACTAAGGTAAGGACGCTAACCAATTTCGTTCTTATACTAAAAAATCTATATTTAATTTCTACACTACTTTCAAAATCAATTTTGGAAGGTTATTTTCAATCCATTTTGTCCTATTTAAATTTTGTAAAGTATGAATCGAAAGGTTAATCTTTTTCTATAAGATTTTAAAAGTATTAATAAGCTCATTCTTTTATATAGAGAATTGTAGCC